ACACACACACACACACACACACACACACACACACACACACACACACACACACACACACACAAACAACACACACACACACACATATACAGACGCGTGCACGTGCATGGGCGATGAAGTCTAGAAGACAGCCATGGTGATGGCTAGGAGGTCGACAATCCAGAAGGAGAGGGAGGGGTGACGAGGAGAAAGCTGGAGGAGGGAGGAAGGAGGGAAGAGGATGGAAAGGAGTAGGGAGGACAAAGACTATGACAATGATGGAGCCGACGGGGATAGAGGATGGAGGCTGGAGGAGAAGAGAGGAGAGCGAAGAGCATGGATGGAGGAGGAGGGAGGAGGGCGATAAGCATGGATGGAGGAGGAGGGAGGAGGGCGATGAGCATGGACACACACACACATACACACACACACACACACACACACACACACACACACACACACACACACACACACACACACATACAATCATTATGGCTTTGCTTCTTCTTTTCCTTGTTTTGACTTCAGAGGACCCCAGAGGATGCCCACATTGATTTCAGGTAAGATGAGACCCCTGAGATCGGTAAGACTATGGGTTTAGGGATCACTAGGTTCAGGGAACGCTATTGGCCTATTTGGAGCCCCTACGCTAAGCGCGCCTCCCATGGTGGGACAATCAGCTAGCGTATAGTTACTGGGTCCACTTGGTACCCATTGTTCGAAGAATCGGACTATATAGCGGGCAAACTCGACCGATTCGACCTCCCATTCCGCACTTTCCGGGAGACTGAAGTGTGTTACTGCTCCCGATGACGCCTTGCCATATCTGGCGGTAGTACACACGTTGGTCTCGCGTCTGCGGAACCAGTCTGCCTTACCCCACAGTCTACTTATCACCGACCATTCCTCATGAACTCTCCGCGTGTCCAAGCAGTTCAAGCACCGCTACTCTCCTCCGCTGCTTCACTACATGTCTGCCTGGCCGTTGCCCCATTCCCCCGCCGCCCTCCCATTGCACTCATGATCTCTTTGAAATTTGCCCTCGCATTTTCGATAGCTCCGTTTGAAACCGACATTTCGGAGAGACCAGCCCTTGTGTTCTTGATTGGAGCGAGGGTGCTCTCTGCTCCGTGACTTCTGGCCACCATGGAGTACCCGTATGATCTTGATGAAATGCTTCATCTTCAATCACTCGATGAGAGTGCAAGCGAGGATGCCACCGAGGTGAAACTTTTCGTTTCTCTTCCCCACCCACGAACCCCCATACTCCCCACCCTTCGTCCCTTATCCTCACCACCTCAGCCAGTGAAATGGATAGTGTGTGTGCATGTGCTCTGAATAGCCCTCTGATGAGCCTTTGTTTGTGGCAGCATGGCGAAAAACATGTAGCCACCATCCCTAGCCTTGCCTCTGTCCATCTTGAAGACCCACCTACCCTTCTGTGTGGTAAAATGGTGATCGCCTGGCAAATGAGGACCCCGTATCCCCTTGCTTTCCCTTACCTCCAGCCTACCTATCAGTTTCCTTCCATTCACCACTTGTGTTCCCTGCATTGTGTTGTGGTGTGCTTGTCTGCCGTGATTATCCTTGTTGATGGTTGCATATTTGCTGCCCCAGCTTCACGATCTTTTAGGAGGGAGGATGTTGCTAATGAGTAGCTATATATCTTTGGAGTGGAGCGCCAGAGGATGGGGAGCACCGGAGTTGCTTCGACGTACCTATTCCAAGGAGGGGCGATCGATTGATGGCAATAAATATGGGGGAATTGGTTGATATGAAATGAGTGAGGGGATGGCGGTTATTGAGGGGGATGTTTCGGTTGAGGGTAATGATGGGGTGCTATGCATAACAGTCCGAACGAAGCCCCTTTGTATGTTATTCTGAGTACAGTACCAATTGGGGAAGATGTGAGGCGGTGGTGGATATGGATTGGGTGTTAGATGGTGGGGGATCACTAACGAGGGAATTACAGTGTAAGATCGCGGAGAGTATCAACTTTTCCTTGTATAGTTTGTAGTTCTGTTTTGTATTGGTTAAGGCTGTTATCTGGAGGAATTTGTTTGGTTTGGCAGTTTGCTGAAGTGGTCACGCTCTCCAGTCAGGGATTTTTTGTTAATTCTTTCGGACAATATGAACCTTTATATTATTTTTTTTCGGAATAACCAGATCGAATTCGTAGAGGTGGGATATACAACTGATATCCCTCTCTATGGGCAGGAAATACTGATCCAAGCATTGCGAACGTTGGAGGCTGACGGATTGTGGTGAGGTTGACATTCACTTAGATTGGCGCTGGTGCTTATGGAGGGGTAGTCCAGGCGAGCGCAGGACAAGGATTATTGGGAAGCCGACCTTTGACATCATGCTGAGTACCGGACTAATCCCTGAATTAATTAACGTTAGTGGCTGCGGGAGTTGATGTGAACGCTGTGATGGGAGCCGAGGGTGAATGCATTGGGAGAGGCGACAACGCCGACAAGGTGGGGGCCTTAAGAGAAGGAACGCACCTGGAAGGTTATCCGGGGCCCTGCAGTGATTTGGAGATAAACCCTTCTATTGCAATTAGTTCGATAAGACATGGCCATGCAATACGGTGACGGAAATACTGTTCTTGTTCCCAGTGAGGGTATGAAGAACGTTTTTTTTTTAGATCGGGTTATACGTTTCGAGGGGAGAGTGACTGCTTGAGTGGCAATAAGCTCTGTGTTGATTCAGGAACTCCGTGTGTAGCAATATCTGGCATCAGCTTTGGCTTGAGTTGTTTTTCCTGATTCTTTTTCAACTCCCTGTTACGGCGTGATTTTGTACCCAAGTGATTGTTCCTTCCCCTCCCTAACCCTTTGGTAACAACGGACCTCCATTCCGCATTATCCTCGCAAAATGGATGCCCTAAGTATCTTTGTACAAACATGCGATGTATGGATCTTAGGGATTGCATGTTGGGTTTGAAATACTGAATGGATCTGGTCGATGTGCCGAGAGCTATTGTCGCCTTACGCCCTCCCTTGTCAGTTTGAATGGTAGTACGGAGTGCATTCATTATGCGCTGGAAATAAACGTACTGTAACATGTGTTTTACCACACATCCAACACAGGTGTTGAAGAGAGGTAGGCGGCGGCGATGCGCTACCGGGGGCGCAACGCCGCCGGTTCAGCAAGGAAGCTTTGCGGGGATGCTGAACGGGGAATTCAACGCTAGGATAGCGCGAGAATGTTGAACGTCAAGGGTTGCAGAGGGGACTATGTGGCACTGAGGAGATTGGTGATGGCGTCGTGTAGGTGGCATGTGTTTAGCTCTCCTCTCTCTTTCAACTAGTTCATTCCAGGTGGCARATGGATGTTTCTGCTGGTAGCTTGAACCCCCTGTGGAAACTCATCGACGGGTTCGGTGAGGTGTCATCACACCATCCATTGACTGGCTGGTTAAGGGATGGCCGTCAAGACCTTCGTGCTGTTAGCTTTTTGAGGGTGGATGGCAGTTGAAGCTGCGGTAACTAGCAGGTGGAGGGAGGCTTAG